AAAACAAAAGCTTTGTTATTTACTCGTGTTGTTTTTTTCATTTTTTGCGCTTATAATATTATTGTACTTACTAGACTTAAATATCAAGAAATGGTTAGAAATTGCTAATTTAAAACTTGCAATTTTGTTTTAACTTTGGTTTCTCAGGTAACTCGAATGGGTTAACTATTTACTGGAATAAAATCATTCGAAAAGATGCAATTAAAAAAGCTTTTATCTTTTTTATTTGAGTTGAAATCAAGAATGTTAAAGTTAAAATCGCCCACGAGGATTTTTTTAATTAATTGATTTTAAATATGTTTTCAAATAACTTTATTGTTCTAAATTGGGGTCTTGTATACAGCGTATGTTTTCAAGGCTTTGAAATGAAATCCGTAAATAATAACAACTCTAATTTTGTAACTGAGATTTGAATCATTCTTAATAGTAACAAAGCGAAACCAATTTTTAATAAAACGAATAATTTAAAAATTAATATTAATTTTAAACAAAACTGTTTGAATAATTTAAAATCGTTATGTAAGGAACTTATATTCATAAACAATATTGGAAACAAATTATTATCCAATCCTTCAGTTACGTTTTCAGATTTTAAGTTATAATATATAGACATTTCTATTTATTACAATTGTAATTATTAAAATCAGAATCTTTATACAATAGAAGGCTCTTTTTTCCTGAAAGGAATTTATTATAATTTTTTGTAAAAGTTATGTTTTGAAACACTTGTAAAAACATTAGTATAAAATAAAAAATTAGTAACAACATTACTGTTTAAATTAAACATTTAACACTGATTTTATATTTATATCTTGTTATCTCTTTTGTAATAAGTTTTTCGTAAAGAATCATTTTTTTTTATAATTTTTTTTTATTAAACTTGTTTTGATGGAGAAATCTTTATTAATTCGCGATCTTTAAAAGGACCTAGGATGTCTAATACACGGACTTTAAGACGTCTAATACCTATCCTATAGACAATTAAAGGAAACATCTGTTGTTTGTTCATAATAGAAAACTTTTTTAGCAGAGGCGATCAAGGATTTTTTCTAGAAAAGCTAAAATTTTTCAAATACGTCATAATCGTAAATGTTTAATAAGTTAGTTTGTCTCAGACAAAACACGTTTGATAGTTACGTCATAAATGCGTCATCAGGCACAATTTTTTTTAAATAATAATCTTAAATAAGTCTTTAAATAATAAACTAAAGGGTTGATCAGCTGCTGTACGTTAAACTTTGTTTAGTTTTGATTCATTTTGCTCTTATAATTTACATTTTTTTCCCCAGTAAAATACCTAACGTAATTACCCAGTGGGCATGTCCGGTAGACGTTGTCCGGTAGACGTCCTTTGGACGTCTTACAGACGTCTGGACGTCCGTGAAACGTCCAACGGACGTCCCCCGGGTAAAACTTACTATAAAATACATAATTTTATTAATTTTTTTAGTAAAATACTTTATGTAAATAAAGTTTTCAATAATAAGTTAATGTTATTGTGGTTTATCCTTCTCCGGCTAATTGCCATATAGAGGTCACTTACCAATAAGCCAATAAAGACGAGTTCAGCTCACTAAAGAGCATCATAACCCGTTTTGACGGACCAAGAGCAAGTGAATCTAAGAAGAAAGAAGAATAGTAGAGTGAAAGTCAGAGGAAGTCGAGTTAGAGAGATAGCATAGAAAAAGCGGACAGATAATACACTAGATATTAGAATGTGCAATTATACATTAATAGGTTACAACTAATTAATGTATTTAATAAATTAACTAATGCTATCTAATTTTCCAGTAAAATACCTAATATAATTAAAGTTTCCAATAAAATAACTAATGTAACTTGAGTTTCCAGTAAAATAACTAATGTAATTTGAGTTTCAATTAAAATACCTATCGTAATTAGTTTCCGAAAATTTTTGACATTAAAAAGTTTCCAAAAAATATTGACACGAAATTTGCAATGCCTCTGTGCATAAGATAGGCATACAATATATCTAACTTACTTAATGAAGTGCACCAACTAGAAGGTAAGCCGTAGTAATTTGTACTCCATATGTAATCTGTAACATTGCCTAGGCTTAGGCATCATTACCTTTCTTTTTTTGATGGGCTTTTCAAAGTTGTGTAATATAAAAGTATTAGTAATGCAGCAAAAGTTATAATATTTTTTGTAACTAATTTATTTTAAGTATTGTTTATTATTATTTTATTGAATTTACCACATACTTTCATTTTTTTTTATTTAACAGTCTACTATCTAATGTTTTAGAAAACAAAGCAATAAAAAGTTATACACAAAAAAAAATATTATTTTTAATTTGAAGAACAAACAATTGTAAATAAGAGGAATTTTTCCAAAGGAATTCTCATAAATCTAGTTTTGCATGAATGTTGGGTCAAAAAGATCGGAGTGATATATATACAGAATTTGCTAAAAGTTGATTTTTCAAGCTTTGCTCTTTCAGAAAACATGCTGATACAAAAAAATACAAAAAAGCTTGTATAAACAACCACATTATCTGTTTAAAATTTAACAATCAAGCTCATTAATAAGATGGTTCAGTAGAGGTAAGGTGATGTAATGCCTAAAATAATCTATCATAATTGATTTGCTTACCACATGTTTTAGGCTTTAATTTCTTTACATCTAGAGAAAAAGTTCAGGACCAATGTTGTATTGGTTACAATGCTAAGAACCAGAATTAAGTTTAATTTTGCATAGCATTTTTTTTATATATTTTTTTATAACTATCGATTTCAAGGCTCTGCTGAAATATATATCCTTTGCTTATCTTGAAATTTAAGTGATTTCTCTAAAATATAATGCAGCGGTGTACTCTTATGGTCGTCCGACGGAACAAGACAACCATGTGTATTTTCTAAAGACAAAGAATTTTTTTCAGTTAAATATTTTCTTTGTGATTACTAACTCAATGAAATTTTTAAAGTGTTAAAGATTTGTTTAAATATAAACGAGAATTAAATCGTTTAAGTTTTTAAATATTATTTTACTTTTAATTTTATTGTAAAGATTAAGAGAAAACGAAATAAATTTGTTTAAAACTTGAACTGCAAATGTATTAAAAAAAGACAATTTTAAATCTTTGTGGTAAGACTACATTGACGTCATAAGAATTTCATTTCTAAGTAATGAAAGGCGCTTGAATATAACGATTACGTTAGTAGATTGCGTCTGTAAAAGCGTGTTTATCATAAAGAAGATTGAAATTATATAATTAGTAATTAGTTTGCATTTTTTGTTAATTACTATTGATCGTGAGAATTTACGTCTTAAGCAATTACATGCGGTAATTGTGTGCAAAATAGAAAGTTTTATCCTAGCCCCTTGTTAAAAGACTAGAAAAAAGCATTTATTTAAAAAGCGATATATTATTATTTGTATAACTATATATTATCATTATTTGCGTCATTTTTATAGCTATTCATTATGTAACACCGTATATATATATAAAAAAGTTAAAGTAGTGAGCAACGGCGATGAACAAAAATTTGATTTGAAAAAAGAAAAAGTGGACGAGTAAACAATATAATCAATAGAGAATTCCATATATGAATAATTTTTTCACAGCAGAAAAATCTTCGTGTATCATTTCTTACATTTGATAGGTGAATTAAGTTATTGAGCATGACATCTTGTAGGATTGTAAGCAAGGAAAAAATATAAAAAAATTCATAAAAAGGTAGATCGACAAAGTTGTATATAATTTTATAGGTCATTACAAGATCAAACTTTATTCTACGGCACTCATGAGTGCCGTAGAATAAAGTTTGATCTTGTAATGACCTATAAAATTATACACAACTTTGTCGATCTACCTTTTTATGAATTTTTTTCTTGCAAGAGATTCTAGATTGAAGATATTGAGTCTTGAAAAGAAATCTTTATAATAAATACGAAATCTTTTAAAGACACTTCTAGTAAACGATTTCTGAACTTTTTCTAACCAAAGTCTATCTTTTTAAAAAGGTACACACAGAGTCTAAAAGAGGTCCACATTGAGGTATAAGGTTCTATAATAGGTCGAAAATAAACATTATAGGCTTTTATCAGAAGCTGGAAATCATTACTGATAAAGCATTTTAAAAATAAGTAGGAACAAGAATATGCCTTGCTTGCAATGAAAAAACAGTTAAAATTTAGAATATTCCATATCCGAAGATACGGCTATACCAATATCTTGAGTTGAATTACTAGATTCAATAGGTGGATCAATGCTTATTGAGTGTAAATTTAATGGTAAAAAAATATTTACATTGCGTAGATAAAAACATTTTTTAGTTGCTAAATTAAGTTGCAAAACATTTGACCATTCTGAAAAATTGTAAGATGTATGTTGTTTCCACTATTGCTTGTTTAATATAACTTGCTATCATCAGCAACCAACTTAATGCTGCAATCACCATAAAAAAATGAAGTTATATAGTTTATAAAAACTAAAAATTAAGATGGGTCCCAAAACAGTTTCTTGAGGTATTTGTGTGAAAAAAGTCAAGTTACCGACGCAAACGAGTTGAGAACGACTTGTTAAAAAGTTTGTAATCCAGTTTAGCAATTCATACAAGGCGCGGATCCAGCATTTTTTTAAGGTTGCTAATTTGGATGAGTTTAAATATTTAAAAATAAATTGCCAGATAAATTCAGCGTCTCGATTTTGATTGGCATGCATGTACCGGTTTGTGTTTTGTAAATCTGATTGTAAAGCGTTGTAATCACCTTGCGAAAATGGTATTTAGTTGATTTTTTAATTGGTTTAGATTTCTCTCAATAACAATTGAAAACAATTATACAGTGGTAACAAGTGCTTTTGAATTGGGAATAGATACTACATTTAAAAACTTTTTAGAGTTGTTGGTCAGTATTAGTTATAGGAGGTTATTATTTCAAGTATTATCAGATACATGCTGGTCTAAAGCATCTGGTGAACACTTTCCTAATATAGGTTATGGCACGAATCTCCGAAACTAATTAGGATTGATCAGTTTTAATTGGTTGGTTAAAGTTATCTGCTATAATACATGTAAAGTTGCACTTAGAAGTAATTTTATAAATTAACTTACAAAAGCTTTGGTTCTTATAAAACTGGTGGCAACACATGGAGGGTGATAAACACAGTAAAATTTTTAGGTCAATTAATGAGACAACAAAGATCTTTTATAGAGATCCCAGCCGGCAAATAACGTTGAAATATCGTTGAAACCTAACGTTGAATTAACGTTGATTTAACGTTTAGGATGAAAGTTTTTTTCAACGTTAATCAACGTTAGATTCAAACGTTATATCAACGTTGATTCGACGCGAAAAAACGTTACAACAACGTTGAATTTACGTTGATACAACGTTTAAAATGATAGTGTTTAACGTTGATTTATCAACGTTAAACGAATGTAAAACACTTTTTCACCATCAAAACGTGCTATGTATGTCAAAATGTATATATGTATGTAAACGTGCTATGTGCGTCAAAATATGATCACCACCAAAACGTATTATGCATGTACATTAGTGTTGCTGTACATTATCAAGGTATATTATGGATATTAAACCTATTCATAGTCTATACTTAGACTATTTAGAACTTTTTCAGTTTAGTTTAGTTAGAATAGCTAGGTATGATTAAAGAAAGAGATAAAACTTGTTTTATTCAAAAATACATATTCAAATATTACATATATTTACATGTAATTGAATAAAATCTACACAAATTTCTTCTCTTTTCTACCACCTTTTTGAAATAAAGAGTAATTTAGAAAGTCAAACAATGTTCCATTAACCGAGGGTTCTTTTGGTCCATTGAATACAATAGAAGAAGCTGTAAATAAAAAAAATATATATAAAAAAAAAAAAAAAAGGGAAGATTTAAAAAATAAATAATGAATGGAAAAGTGTTACAACTTATGAAGGTATATCTTTTTCAATGCCTTATAGATTAGTGTTCTTAAAACATATTTTTCCACCTTTGCCCTTCATATCCTCATATCCATGGAGGCCATATAACTTTTCGAAAATACTCTGAATTTTAAAAAAATAATATAACTGTTAGTTGGTTATTAATAACTTTTTCAAATATTTAATTTAAATAAAACAACCTTTTTAATATATTAAAAATAAATTAATAATCAAAATATAAAACATTTCTAGCATTGAAAAATAATTTTCGGGGTGGCCACATAAAATTTTTATAAGAAATTTTATGTGGCCATTTATTAATGGTTTAACGTCCATGTTTATACACTTATGGGGCTTGGACAGGGATCAAATAATGTCATTTGTTATGTTAAGTAGCATGCATTTTCTAAAGCAATTTTTTACAATTCCATGCACTTTAAGGCGTTAATCAGTTTTGCAGACCGAGAATGGGTATTTTGAACATTATACATCCATCAAAAATTAAAAAAGGAAGAATTAATGAGCAGCTTTGATCAAATTTTTACCTCTTTAGAGGATAATAGAGGATTTTAGAAGTGGTTTTAAAAAAAGAGGACTTTAGAGGATTTTAGAGGAGCTGCAGACACCCTGATTATAAATAAGGTAATTCCACCAATTAACTGTAATTGATTTATCTGTAAAAAAACATGAAGTAAATCTAATATTATGCTAGTGGAGATATATTATATTGTGGAGAACCATCCAAACCACACAAGTGGAAAATTTGCATCCAAGTTTCCACTTGTGTGCAAATCTTGCATCCACTTGTCAACATTCTCATTATCATATTTTTCTTTTGTAGTTGTGAATTTAAAATTTTCACAATACTATTTGCTTTCTTTTAGAATTGAAATAGTTATACAAATAGTTATATATTTTGTATCAACAAAATAACTCTTCTTACCACATTATTTAAAAAATAATTATTGTAATATATAGATGTAATACCTGAAGAGAATTTAGTTTTTATTTGTATAAACTTAAGCCAATTCTTCTCTGCATTTTAGTGCAGTCAATGCTTTGGTACCTGGAAGCCGACAAACAGTTTTATCACTAATCCAATTAGATGGAATTACTTCTTCTTGTAAATCTTTATTCCAAACAGCTCCTTTCCGCATATTCGATTTTGAAAAAATTACATGAACTAATATAAAATGAAGAAACCATAATATAAGTGTACTAACAGGCCTAATTAAACTAGCTAAATTTGAACATTTTATAACCATGATACTTGCTAAACAATAATATTAGTAGACGTTATAAGCAAAGATAAGATTTTCTTTATTTTATAAATTTATTATATTTTAAACTCATTTTTATTAATTTATTTATTACTCTTTTATTCAGCAGAGCTCTGAATATATTATGTTCAAATAACTTAAGGCTTAATAACAAAGACAAATAGTGAAAGAATACTAGGTTGCTAAAACATAAACATCTACATAAGATAATTATGGAATATTGAAAAAAAATAGAAATACAAAAAAACAAAAATACTCATTATTAATAGCTTGGTGTTAGATACAGTGAAAATTCACTGTACCTAAGAAAGCGCTATTCGCTAAATACAGTGAAAATTCACTGTACAGTGAAAATTCAGCGTATTTATCAGAAAAGTTTTCTTACAGTGGTTAAGTACAGTGAAAATTAGTTTAAAAAGTTACGTACAGTGAAAATTCACGAGGAAACTGTTAAAATAATAAAAATGTTGTTATTTTGAAAGGGAAAAGCATAATGCTCATTGAAATGTATTAGCTAAGTAACATAAAAAACCCAGGCGAGGAGTTGTTAATAGAGTGGAAGTAATTAAGGAATATATCTCAGAAAATAAATTGTCGTATATATTTTTTTACCGTATATATTTTAATTTTGTTGCAGGAGTCCATTAAATACTTATTAATAAAATTTTATTTATAAGTTCGCACTTATGATGATGCACACTTATGGCAGTGTTTGCAATATTTTTGGCGCACTTAATCCACTTGCACTTATGTCATTCTATGCAACTGCATCGCACTTATACCAGTTCGCACTTAAGCTGATGTCTATAAGTTCTTATGGTGCACTTATACTGATTCGCGCCTATGCCAGTTCGCAGTAATGACAGGTTTTGCAACATCTTCGGTCTTAAGATAAAAATCAAATTCAGCTTTAAACCAATTACTAAGAAAAATCTTTTAGTGATAAATTAGAAGTTGTGAGTTCCAGTAATGAAACAAGTAATAGTCATTTTTAAAGATAGACAACAGCGGGAAATTAAGTCAAGCTATCTAGCAACACTAAAACACGACAACACATTGATTACTTACAATAATAACACATAGCATCAGATATTTAACTTATAATAAATATAATCATTTAATAAAGTTAATATTTGTTTGTGGTCAAATAATATTTTATGATTATAGATGTTGTAAATATTAATTAACCATTGTTATTTTTTTTCCCCTGTTTATGTATATAATATTAATTTTTTCTTTTAAAATATTGATTTATTTTTATTATAATTTAAACCATTTTTGTTGCTATTGGTGTTGATAATTTATAACTATTATCTTTATAATTTTTATTTGTATCACTAATATTATTTAATATGATTATCGTTAGGTGTTTACTTTATATTAGTTTTAAAGTAATTGTAAGTATCCTTGACTGTAAGACCTTGTTCAGAAATATATATGATTGATACAATATAAATAGTGGATAAATAAGTATTATAAGTTTTAGCAAACATATAACATTTTACAAACAGGGTTGCCAATGTTATTTAGGAATAAAATTCCCTGATTTTCCCTGATTTTTTCGCTGAAATTTTGATTATTTTTCCCTGATTTTTTCGTTAAATCTTTAAAGGTTCACTCCAGATATTTCAAGTATTCATATTTCAGATTTAAAAAAATTTTGACCATTCTAAAATAAAGATAAACACACTTTGACTAACTTTGTTAAATATTTAAAAAATTAACCCTGAAATGTACACTGAAATGGAATATTTATATTAAAAAACATTTTAAAACATTAAAAAAAATTGTAATAAATAAAAAAATTCTCTGATTTTTTGCAAAAACAATCATTTTCCCTGATTGTATTTGAATTTCCCTGATTTTTCCTGAAATCTATGATTTCCTTGATTTGGTGACAACCCTGAATAAATATATTAAAAAAAATTGATAACAAAAAAAAAAAAATAATAGTTGGTAGCTTAAACACCTAAGTAATAAAAAATTATCCTCAAATATTTGACCTCAAGGGACAATAGTTAATAAACAATCTGAACAAGGCAACAAGCAACATGAAGATATTTAATCGTTGTCCAGCACTAATTGTAATACATGATTATTTGTGGTATTTTTTGAGTTTTTTATTTCATTATTCATTTTTTTTTACACATATTTTTATTTCACATATTTTTATTTCATTATTCATTATTTGAGTATTTGTGTAATTGTAATACATGATTATTTGTGGTACCAAACCACCATTATTTGTGGTATTTATTGATAAATAGCTACCACAAAAACGGTGTCAGCTACAGTTCCATTAATGCTATTTTTTAATAATAAACCCTCATTACAGAAAAACAGAAAGTGTTTCAAAATTAAGCCTTGAAAAAAGTTAAAGATGTTTTTTCCTTTTTTTATGCATACAAAAAGGGAGAAGACACCACTTATAAAACATAGATCGTCCAGGTCATAATTTAAAAATCCTGAAATTTCTTTGCGTACAATATGCATATTTTTTCTCATATTTTTCTCTCAATTTTTGCCTCCAGCTGAGTTAATTTTATCATTTTTTGTATGAGTGATGACTAAAAAACTCCAAACATTTACAGAAATGCATACTTAAACTTGTATGTATTGAAATAATTGAGGATATCCGGAAAACAAAAAGTCTTGAAAAATACCTGGAATACCGGGAACATCCGAAAAAAAATAATCCATGTATAAAAACTACAAAATCAATTTACCTGCTTTTTTTGATACTGCTGCTGCTGATGTAGCAGTCGTTGTTTGGGTTATTGAAAAACATCGTGTGGTTTTAAGTAATCAATTTAAATTGAAGATGATATAACTTCTGTTTTTCTAATTAGTTTGTAGTTTTCAATTCATAGATTTTTATGGTTTCCAATATTTTCAACATAATGCAATGTTGAATATTGGGAACAATAAAGATATAAGAAACTTTGAGTCTTGTACATCTTAAAGTTGTGATAAAGAATGCAACTTTTTGTTTGATATCAGACTAATTCATAGACTCATTCACAACTAAATTAAAAACAATGGTTGATTTTACAATTAATTAAAGTAAAATATTTTGTAAAGATGTAAACAAAGAGATTAAATAAAAGAAGTAAAACCTACGTGTCTGAATCTCTCTTCAACTAATCTAAAACGAATTAAGCAAATGAAACAGCACAAAATCAAATAACTATGCATAAATTTCATAACTTACAAAAATTACCTTCCACACCAGTGTTTAAATGAAAAAAGGCGAACATAAAGATAAAATACAAATGAACTTCCCTTAAAAAGTCATATTCAAAAAATTATTATCAACAACAACAAAACAAAACTTTTATGAAAATAAAAAGTAACTGTACTTACTTTAACAGTGTCAACAAAGGATAATCTAATTCTCCAGGGTCTACCTCATGGGTCTCATCTTATAACTCCCAAGAATAAATTATATGCAAATAACTTTTCCTCTATTTCATTCCTTGATTATAATATATTATACAACTATAATGACTATAAAAAACTCTTCCTGTCTTACCAGAGAAACAGGTTAACCTTTTGTTAGACTTAAAAACATTGATAAAAATAATAATCTTTGAAACATTGCTAAAAATAATAGTTACACATTATTTCACTTAATAATAGTTACACTTATTTTCATGACGTATTTTCAAAGTAAACTAATAAATAAAAATTAACAAGAAATCATTCTGTAACATAAACTTTGTGTTAACTTTATGAAAAGGTATAAAATTAAAATAAAGCTGCACAGTTAAAATATCACTTTACACAACAAAATTAAAAAGTTCTAGAATGCAATATGATAAACAAATGAACGTTATCAAAGTTAAGCACTGAAAGTATCTTTATAAAATTTCTGAAACAAATTAAAAAAGAAAAATGCCTAACAACATGTCTAACACTTTTTTTCTAACTTTATTTTAATGCAGGAAGCATTTTTGTCATTTTTTTATCTTAGATATATACTATGATACATTAGATTATAGATTATATGATACATTATATTATAATACATCATACAATGCATAACATAATGTTTAAAAAATGTATCATGACTAATCAAAGCTCAAATAATGGCCCATGAGCTGCAACTCTCACTTTCCGCCAAAACCTAATGCTCTACCAAATAGCAGAAAAATATCTAATTAAAAAAGCTGATATTTTCTTCAAATACTACTCTAATTCTAGCCTGGAATTACTAACTTTTAATTAAAAATCAAAAATCTAAAAAATTCAGCAATTTGAAAATTCCAAAATCTGATTTAAAATAATGGTTTCCAAAGAAACAAAAATAATAATGAAATTTAATTTTTTCAAAGCTAAGCAATAACAAATATCAAAAACAATAAAATGTAGCTTGCAATAAAAAATATTTAGAGATTAGCAAAAATCATTTCTACATATAACAATTTTCAAGTGTAAGCTTAAAAAAGACTAAACTAAGAAACGCTAGAAAGTAGCATGGGCTATTTCAAAAGTAGTATAAAGGGCTATTTCAAAAAAAGTATTTTTAACTATCAGGTTCAAGAATTTTGCAAAAAAGGGACACTAGCTAAAGAAACACAAAGCTAATTGCCAATTAAAAGCTATTTTAAATGTTTTTTATAATATATTAATTTATATTATAATATATTAAATAAATAAAAATAAATATGGAGTATGCTCTTTATAAATATTATAATATACTAACCGTTTCTATAAATAATAAATAATAAACATTTTAATATTTATTTATGTCGCTAAATAAATAGATATTAAAAACTTTTAAAAATATTTTATATTAGTAAATGAACCTAAATTCCACTATTTCCTTACTTTACATTGAGCACAGAACCAATATCCTTTAGGTTTGCAAGATATTTGTAGACAAACATAATGCGACCAGTCTAAACAATGATCACACTGAAGCCATTTTTGTTTTTTTCCAGCTGCCTTAGACTGCCCGCATACTTGACACGGCCATTTTTCAATCCTCACATCTTCACACCGTTTGATGACTTCAGCCCATGCATCCTCTACAAAATATTGCTTAATATCATCAAGACTTGCTTTAGGATCAGCAATCTTATTCGATAACTGTTTTAAAAACTGGCAGGCGGTAATTTTAGCACTCTCGTGTAAAACCTGCAGGGCAACTGTTCTTTCTACAAACCAACAGAGACGGATATGATCTTTTTTGAAACTACCTAATTTTTCAAACGCTTTTATAGCTTTGTCAAAAAGTCTCTGTTTGTTTTTACCTACACGATCAGGTGGCTTCCGCTGGGGTTGCCTTAAAACTAAATTTATATGTGGCTCTTGAGAGACTACTTCACATATTTCTTTATTTATGCATTCAAGTGGGATAATCATAGGCTCTGCACTTGAAGGTGATTTAACTTCTAAAATTTTCTTTTGATGATAGATCTTCTGTAGATGTAAAACCTTCTAGACAAGGATCACTTTGATCTACTGTAGATGTAAAACCTCCTAGACAAAGATCACTGTAATCTACTGCAGGTGTAAAAACTTCTAGACAAGGATCACTTTGAAACTAAAATAAACAAAACATTTTTCTAATGCAGTTCTTTAATGATTTGAAAACTGAAAGCATCTAAAATCCATTGACATACCATCAGTTCCCATTCACCAGAAATGCATTGTTGATTAATAGATTCTAACCAGGTTATTGCAAGTTCAAATTTTTTGGGTGGCATTTCAGCGAGCAAAGAGGCTATTGGTTGAAGGTAACTCATTGCTGTAGTAAATCTTTGTTTGGGAGTGGCACAACAGAGAGGTAATAATTCTATATTTGAGGTAATATGTGATGGCGCTTGGTCAAAACTTACCTGGTTTGCTACAGTATTGCATGAAATCCACCTAAATAAATTTATGTCAATGTAAATAATTTCTGTTATCCTAGTGTAAAGTAGGTTAAAAAATCTAAAATTTTTATTTCAGTGTACACAAAAAAGAATTCTTCTAGCCAATTAAATTAAAGTAATTATTTCATTTATTGAACTATAACAGACAATCAATTTAGCATTAAAAAATGCAAATAGGGGATCATCGATACATCATTTGTTTTGCTTTTTAGATTACCTGAATGGCATGGTAACTTTTTAAAGTAACTTTTTCTAGAATAAACAATGACTCAGAACATTTAATAAGTAATAAATTGCATGCAACATTAAAATACATGTTTTGACTACTAAATTGTAAATTGATTATTATTCAAATAAATTTTAATTTAGCAATCTATAACATAAGTGGATTGAAATTTAAATAAGGTCATGAAGTTATATAATATTACGAACCTTTATTATTATTAATTAGTAGAAAACCCAAGGTTACCTTTTATGAATCAACTGTAGATCATTAACAGTTACATTCTTCGTTCTTAGAGCAAAAAGAACATGTGCACACGGCACGCCAAACCCTGATGCAGCATCACAGATGCAAACCCAGTCTATTATGTTATAAAAAGTTGATTGCCGATTGATTATTTGTAATGAATCTCTGTCCTAAAACACCATAAAATAAGTAATGATTGACTTGCAAATCTTATTGGAAAACAAAAAATAATAAAAAATGGAGTACATTTAATAAAAATTATTAACCTCATATAAACTAAAATCAGACTTGACACTTTTATCATATTGTTCCATGAGATGACGAAGAATAAAAGAAAAAACATGACGTGAATAAAACTTTAGTGGCTCTGGAAGTTTATTGTTAATTTTTAGTTGTTGGTCAAAGTCTGCATGTTTAGATTTTTCTATTTGCACTCTATTAACCTTAAGAATTTTATCTATAAGATTTCCCGGTGACATGCGTGACAAAAGGCCAACATCTTTAAGTGTTCTATGATATCTAATCAGAACAATAATTAATTATTATAAAATTATTGTAAAATAATTCATAAAAAAATTAAGTTATTTGATCTTTTTCCATTACAAGACTTTTCTATTAAAAATAATGAAGTCATCTTAAAATAAGCCCCTTTCAAGTCTGTTATTAGTATGATTGTCTAAATGCATCAGACCTTTTCTATAGTGACCCATAAACATTTCTGGTATGGTCAGCTAGTTTTCTTAAAGATACACATAGAACGTAGGGAAATTTTTTTCAATATTTAACAAAGCTTCAGCGCATGTTGCCTGATTACCGTACATTAATTTCTGAGTAGCCTAATGAAACATTTAAATAGTTAAGTGAGAGCATAGTTGCATTTTTACAATAGTTTTATTCATAAATTTTCCAATTGTTAGTAAGATAAACAATAAAAATAACTAAAAAATAATATTATAACTGCAAACCTTGAATAATAATTCCTGATCGTCAGCAGTAAGTCTACCCTTTTTAATTTGATAAATAAAAGCTTTAGCTACATGAAAGCGACAGAGAAATATTTTATTTCCTGGAAAAACGGACTGTAGTCCAGATATTTCTGCTTGAGCTTTATCAACCATGAATATCGACTTTTGAAAAGTTTCAATCCCAATTCATTCCTTAGCATGTGTCATTAGCAGCTGTAGATGTGACTGGTCCTCACGATAAACTAAAGACTGCACTACAGGTCGCCCAATGCCATTTTGATCCACAACAGCCATTGTGTATAATGGCATAGAAAAGTTGTTAATCTGGATATTTTTAGGAAATTTATTAATAGCAATTCATTATTTTTATAAATACCTATTTTTTTAAATAGAAGTTATACCCTCAAAAAAAATCTTACGCCACACACTTAGCCAATCTTAAGACAAACCTTATAGGTACCATCAAGCATGATAAATTCAGGATACTTTTTCAACAAATTTATTTGTTCAGTAGTTGTCCACGTTATACACTCTACTTTTCTATCAAGATTGGCATCAATATGGGATATGACATTTGGTAATTCAAGAACCTTTATAACTTCATCAAGTGCAGGACCTGTTTATTTTATAGGGAAAAAAATAACATTTTAGAAAAGATAATTATATTTTTAGAAAAGTCATACAATTTAAAATTGAAGTTTCAACCATAACAAAAACCTTTAAATTTCATTCTTTGCTTTATGTTATATATATCACGAGGTCTAGTCTTTAAACCATGCCTGTTTAAACTGTCTGTTATAAGTGTAGGATTAGCACCATGAGATAGCAGAAGCATTGTCTGCTGCTCGAGAACACCTTTTGGTTGACATTCTGAACTATACATACAGAACTGCTCAGGCCCATGTGGATGATTACGAACTAAATTTTTTTTCTTAATGTAATAACTCCTTATTTCTTTTTTATAGGCTACATGAATAGCCATCTTACAACCACTTGCTAGCACGCTATTTTCTCGTAACCCTTTGCCTCTCTTTAAGACACTGGGCATTACTTCTCCATAATGTTTGCATATCCACCTGTAAAAATAAAAATCTGTAAAGTTGAATATTTAAGTAACATTCTATTTTTAATATTTTTATTTTTAAAATATCGCAAATTATTAATTTTTTTTATCTTCACTTGCAACAAGAAAGCACTATTTATGTTAGAAATTACTGGGAAAAAAAAAGATAAAGATTATAGAGCAAGATAACAATTAACAGACAAAAAAAAAGAAAAGTTGAAAATTATAAGAATCAGGAAAACAAGATAAAGGAAGTGAATTAAATGTAAAACTGATACTCGAAGAAAAAAAGTAGATAAATAAGAATCTTTGAAACACTTAGAAAAAAGTAAAAGGATGAGACTTAATTGAATGACTAATAACACGACAATGAATTTTAACAGATGGCGTAAGAGACACTAGCTCTTTAGAGCAGAGCCCATTTTAGTACTTGTAGAAGAAATTAAGAGAAGCAACATCACCACAATATGATTGAAGCAACATCATATGATAATGGTTGGAGGTTGGCTGCAAGAGCAGGTCCAACTAAGTTTTGCACCTTGTCTAAAAGAGAAAGAGCATCTTCGGAAGATCCTTCCCAGATATTTCAACAGTATTCCGTAGAAGGACGGATAAATTGTTTATAGAGATAAAGAATGGAAATAGGAGTCTAAAAGTGGCAAGCATGATAAAGACATGCAAGGTTAGAAGATGCTAATTTTGATATCAATTTGATATAAGATCAGAAGTAATAGTTAATCCTAAAAGATGATGGGAAGATGACTCATCAATTATATTACCGTTCATAAATTTAGGAAGATAAAAGTTATTGCGATAACAATTGGCTGAAAAATATTTAGTTTTATCTGAGTTCAAGATCACCAGCCACTGAGAACCCCATGCTGTAGCAGAAGTAGCTTAAAATAGATCTGCTGTAGCAGATCTATTTTAAGCTTGGATACCTCTCCAAGCAATCAGAGAGTGTTGGTTTTTATCAAGACAAGAGTAAATATTAGTGTCATCAGCCAGCAATGCCACCTAAGATGTGGGAGTTTCAGGGAGATCATTAATGTATATTAGAAAAAGTATAGGACCAAGGATGGAACCTTGAGGAATCCCTGAGGTTACCGGAAATGAGAAGAATGCTGTCCACAAAGTATAACATTTATAATACGATTAGTAAGGAAGAATTCAATAATCTTTAAGACATTACCTAATAAACTGTAAGACAAAAGCTTAAGGAGAAGACCCGAATGCCAAACTTTATCAAAGGCTTTAGAAATGTCAAGAGCAATGGCCTTAGCCTCTCCACAATTATCAAACACACGATAAAACCTATCAGTTATTATCGTTAATAATTAAGCAGTAGAATGAGAAGATCGAAATCCATATTTCAGATCAGAAAGTAAATTATTAGATTCAAGATGAGAGATTAATTGTGTGTTAATTAAAGACTCAAAAACCTTGCTTATGCTAAAAGTAAGAAGACTGATGGGATGATAGATAGACAAGTCGGATTGCTATCTAAAATTTTAAAAAATAGGAAACACAGACACAGCTTTCCAGCAGGGCGGCAAAAAATGACTTCTATAAACATTTGTTAAATAGTTTTGAAAGTATAGACGACAGCTCCGAACAACACTTCTGCAAGACTATGACAGGTATGTCGTCTGGACCACAGGCTGAAGAAGTTTAAGCAAGAAATCACTTTTGATACAGAAGCTGGGGTGATAAGAATGTCAAGCGATGGATTAACCTGTTTGATGGTTATATCAGGTAGAATGTGATTGGTCGAATCAAGAAATGAGATAAATAAAAAGTTCTTAGCGAATAATTCAGCTTTGTCTTTAAGTGAGGTAACAAAATCTGAACTGTGCAAGAGAGGTGGAATAACAGATTTGCCCCTATTAAAGAAGTCTCGAGAGCCTAATTTCTGAGAAAAAATACTATATTTTGTGACCTGGGAATAGCGAGTTTTGGCGTTAGACAAAACCATGTTACAATGGTTTATAAAATAATAGCTTTAAAGAGATCAAACCATTATCAGAAGAACCTAAGTGTGAATGTGGAGAAACTGAGCATTGACAAGGATCAGAAACAAGACATAAGTCAAGTAGAGAAGATAAATGATTCAGATTATCCGGAAAGTTGACTATTTGTGTTAGAGATTGAGAAAGGCAAAAATTGTTGGCCTTAATGCCTGAAGAGTCACTTACACTAGAGCCGAGCTATTCAGTATGATTAGCATTAAAGTCACCAACTACAACAATATTGGCTGAAGGATAAAGAGAAAGAGCTTGGTCAATTTGATCAGCAATGACATCAAAAAGTGCAGTCCTGAGATGAAGGAGACCGATATAAAACAAAAAGAAAGGTGAGACAGTGGAGTCGTGCTAAATGAAAGCCCAAAAAAATAATCTGCGGATTCAAACCTAGTTTCCCAAAAAACTAGTGAATTCTTATGAATGTAAATGTCTAGGCCAAGCATGTGACTATTAGCGTATTGTGAATTTCATATTTATTTCAAAAAATAAAATTCAAGCTTAAGAAAAGGTTTACTCTTATGTAAAATTAAATTTCAAGGTAGGTTTGCTATTGACTACTATTTAATTAGAAAATATCTTAAAATGAAATAAAATTAATTTCTATTAAAGTAGATTTAATCCGTTTTTGTTTAGACCCATTATAAGCGCAATGGCAAACTAATTTTAAAAGAGACTTCGACTTGTCTCTCTGCCGTATAAAAATGTGATTTAGATACTATTATTATATTCACAATTAGTTATTTAATTGAATTATTCATTAATGTTGAAAGCTTGATATTCATCCTTCACTAGAAATTTCTAGATTTAGTGGACTTGGAAAGGATTTTATTCCTAATTAGTTGCTTACAAACAGAGTAAATATTATATAATTTCACAACAAGAGCAAAAAAGCATAACATGCAGTCTATACCAAAATAAATGTTCTAACAAAAATCAATCTAATTTCATTTGTTCTTGCTCAATGGAGAAATGAAAATGTTAGGTTTCAACAACCAGTTATTTTTGGGGAGAAATCACTTTATAGTAGAATAAAAACTTTTTGGGAAAAACAATTTAAAACATTGCATGAAGAAGAATTGAAGCTAAGGTAAAAGAACTAATACCAGAGTTTTAAACTAATAGACCTCATAACAAGTCCTCATACAATATTTTTATGAGCATAATCTGTTTGGGTATCCCCCAAAAATAGTACGATTATAGCACACATAAAATGCAACTGTATTTTTACTAAACGAATTTTAACTATGGAGCTCATGATATAAAGTCAAAGATATAAGACAGGTTGAAAGTCTGAGATGCAGATAATACATGCTAATAATTTGAACGGACAGTTACATTCTATTATTATCAAGAGAATCACATTACTGTGGCTATAGAACTTTGTGTTTGATATCTTGGTCATATTACCCTGAATGCACGTATTCATTCGGACAAATCAGCTACAAAGCTTCCTTAAGTTGTTTGTTTTTCTTAGCAAAAATATAATCTTACTAAATGATGTGTAACACTTATAGATTAAACAAGTTATTTTTGTGTCACCTAATAAAAGGAATTAATGGACCAACATCATTTAGTACTGGATTTGTAAATCCTACGGGAAAATATCCTGATATTTATAAAATGGAGTATAAAGAGTATAAAAGAAAGAATGACACCCTACGCCCAGCTAGGTGCTTGGTATGCAAAGTATATGAATGTCTTCATTATCTAGTAATAATGCAGAACAAAAAATATGAACAAAATAAGAACAAAATATGGTAAACTTTGCAGTTTACCATATTTTGATACAACGAGGCAACGATATTGTTGGAGATACCAGAATCAGACCAAGAAAAATACCTAAAGAACTTTGCAGCGAGACTTTTCAAGAGATAGTTAAACATAAAAATACTGTAGTACAAGAACCTGTTTTAACTTGTTTTCTCACAAAAGGTAACTTGTAATTGCTAAGATTGACACCTTTAATAACTCCTTCAGTTAAAATTTTTACCCAAAGTACAGAGCATGCTGTAAACAAGTGACATTTGCATCCATGACCATAGATAGGCCAGGCGCAAGAGATGGTATATTAGTTCTCAACATAGACAGTTGCTACCTGGGTTAAAAGTGGC